GGTCTTCCGGCCGTTTGCCGCCCCGCTGCTGCCCACCGTCAGCGCCCGCCTGGTCTACACGCTGCGCTGCGCCGCCTTTGCCACGTTCCCCATCGTTCTGGGTGAGCTGGGGTGGGGGGGTTGGCGTGCAAAGCCCTTCACCCCCACCGCTGGGCTGCGTTGGCTGTGGGGAGCGGGGAGCAGAGCCGGGGCTGGGCTCTACGCAGCTCTGTTGCTCCCATCAGAAGCAGCAGACAGAGGTTTCCCACCCCGTTGCATCTCTCTGGTGCTCCCCCAGCGCGGGTTCGCTGGGCGCCTGCTCAGCCCCTCTCTCTGCCCCTCAGGGATGATCGTCAGCGGCATCTCCCGCCTCTGCTCCTCTGCCCTGGAGCTCTGCGGGGAGCTGCAGCGGGACGGGGAGCTGCAGCGGGAGGTGGAGATCCACCGCACCTACGTCTCCCAGTCTGTCCAGCTCTTCATCCTCTACTTCTTCAACATGGCTGTGCTGGCCACTTACCTCCCGCAGGAGGTCCTCAAGCTCATCCCCCTGCTCACCGGGCTTTTCGCCATCTCCCGGTAAGTGGCTCCTTTCCCGTCCCTGGGCTGCGGCAGCACCCAGGGTGCAAAAGGGGTCTGTCAGTGCTGGCAGACACCATGCCTTGGTGCAAACTCCCGTTCCGGCAGCGCCTCGCTCGGTTTTATACCCAGGAAGGCCGGCACAGGGGAAGGGTTGCTCCATCCCTCATCCCGCTTCCCGTAGCGGCTGTGCCTGGCAAACCCTCGCTGGGGTCAGAACCCCTGAGCGAAGCTGGGTGCCGGCCCCAGGCCATCGCCCTCGCTGAGTCCGCCCCTCTCTGCCCTCCCCAGGTTGATTTACTGGCTGTCGTACGCCATCGGGCGCTCCTTCCGCGCCTTCGGCTTCAGCATGACCTTCCTGCCCCTCCTGGCCATGCTCCTCTGGAACCTGTACAGCATGTTCGTCCTGGAGCCCCAAAACCTCCTTGCTGTGGCAGGGCCGAAGCCCGAGGACTCCAAGGTCACTGGGGCCAAACTCCGGTACTGGGGGTGAGGGAGGAGATGGGGTGCCGGGACCCCGCGGTGCAGAGGGACTGAGCCCTCCTTACTGCCCTGAAGGTGGAGGGCTGCAGGCAGATCTGCTTGGGGGGCTAAAAAGCCGACCCGGCAAGGTTTTGCCGGGCACCCGGGGTTGGCAGAGCTGAGCTGTAAAACCCTCTGCACTGGGAGTTCACTGGCGGAGGGCGAACAGGGCCCGGAGCAAGACCCTGTCAGCCCCGTTCCGCGAGGATGGGCTGGGCCGGGATTTGCCTGACCTCCTGCTGGAGCTTGCTTTGCCCAATAAAGCCCTTCGCCGCGTGGCTCCGTGGCTGGTTTGGGGAGGGTGGGTTAATTCCCCCAGGAAACGCTGCTGCCAGGACGTGTAGCGTCGCCATCACCCAGCCCCAAACTGATGTTTCCAAGAGGGGAAAAAACGAGGTTTCCCCCAAGCTGTCCATCTCTCAGCACGGCACCCATCCCTTCGTGGCGGTGCAGCCAGTCCTGCCCAGCTTGGCCCTCCTCTTCCTCCTGGTGAAAGTTCAGCGCCTGGTTCACAAACCAGTTGGCCCAGGTAGGAGGGAGGGAGCCCTGCCCCAAGGAGGGACGCGAGGGGAGAAGTGAGGTGGCACCTGGCTTGCTGCTGCCTAAGGCTGGGGACGGCTGATCCGCCCAGGACGGGCACCCAGCCTGCACCCTGAGGGTGCAGACACAAAGGGACCCCTGGAGTCTGGTTGTCTCAGTTCTCCAGTTCTCAGGCACAACCCAAACCAGTTCAAAACCCACCACATAAAGGGAAAGCCCCTCCCTTCCCTACATGTGCCAAGTGTTCGGCTTGTCCCGTGTCCCATCCCTGAGGGCTGGATCCTGGGAGCAGCTCACCCAGCGCAGCCCAGCCGAGTCGGGGAACGGAACGGTCTGACTCCCTCCGATGAGTGGGGGGACGGCAGAGACACGGCCCGCGGCCTGGGCTCACGCTGACCCCACGGCTCATAGGCAAAACCGCCCCGGGGTGTGAGTCAACACAGGGGCAGGGAGCCTGCCTCCTCACACCGAGTCCCAGCA